TACCTTCACTTCTGGTGATAATGGTATTCATAGTAGATAAGGTTTTCATTTTTAAACATACATAACTTAGGGATAAAAAACACAAAATACCTTTACTTTATACCAGTTATCATTATCAAAATTTTTAAGATCCGAAGTCACACTGGTCAAAACGAATGAATTTTGAATGCCACACTTAAAAATGCAAAAACCGAATGCTGGTTTTGAACTTGTAAAGTAGCAGCAACAGTCACTGTGCTCTAGTTCTGAACCAATGAAGGGTTGTCATTATAAAAGGAAGAACAGCTTCTTGCAGAATGTCAACCAATAGAAAAGCAATGAAGTGATGACCATAGGTCAACTGTACAAATTTCTCAGTTATTTTTTATGTCACAAGTAAGAACCCTTCTCTCCGCTTCTCAACTGTCTTGAAATTAAGCTGCAAGTTTCAGGAACATCTAAATAGATTTTCTTATGTTTGCCTAAGAAATACTATCTTATAATAAACAAACATACAGGAGGGCAAAAGGACATTCTGAATAAGATTTTAACCAAAACATGTTTTTCCTATAAAAATATTATGATGTCCTTCAAACATATAAAACACAACACAGGAAAACTGTGAGGAAGCCTGAAACCTCTAAACATATGAATGTACTTTTATGAATGTTACCAAAATATATTTACACAATTATTATTACAGTACTTAAGCCCTCTGGTTCACATGTGTCTGCGCAAAATTACTCCATAACTTACATACCACAGCTGCTTAGTGCAAAAATGGTGAGAGGCAGAGAGATGGTACCAAATCATCTGTGCTCCCTTCTGCCCCATAAGGGCAGAGAGCTCTTCTTGGAATAAACAGCAAATCTGCAATGATTTCTGTAAAAGAGAATAGACCTCCCTACACTTGGATATACAAAAGATACGAGAGTCCTAACCGAACTGTGAAGATCTGTCTCACTTTTCTCATAAGCATTCTCAGGAAATTAAGTATCGTTACTCACTGGGATACGAGCAGCAGCATTAGACTCACATACATCAGGTAAACTTTCAGTTGTCTAACAAGAACACTTTCTAGACTTTGCTGAGGAGCATTCTTTTTTTTTCTCTTCTGAAAGTTTTTTTTTCCCAAAATAAACTGAGATTTATAGTAATTACAGGCAACTGATGTAGAACAGACAAGTATTTCTCAAAAACAGTACCTGTAGTGACAGTACCTAAAGGACACCAAAACTATCCCTTCCATTATATCAGTATTATATCATTAACTGTATAATACTTCTTCTGTAACATAAATACACATTACTCCCTAAAATCATACTAAAATCACCCATATAAGTTTCAAGAAACCTTTCCTCCTACACAGAAAATAATCTTTGGCTAGTCAGCAGTGCCTAAAGACTATAGGTTCACAGAAATTTCACCAAAAACTTGCAAATGTCTAAAACAGGAACTTGTTAACTAGTCTGCCACTAGTGCCATGTGACAATCTAGTCACATAACAAGATTTGCAAAGGGATTTATAGAGTCTCCTGCTGATGTATGGGTGGTATGTATTTATATATGAGATGCTAGCAGCTTTTTGATGCTTTGATGCTTTGAAATTGCAACAAATTACCTTTAAGGGCTTACACACTCATGTGAAGTGTACAAAATTTTCAGAAGGCATGGAAACATCATGTTTTTTTTGGTAATCTCTAGTGAAATAAATAAATTAGGAAAATAATTCCATATGCTATATACAACTCAACATTGAATAACGAATGATGTTTCTACTTCATAATATCTAGGAAAAAAAAAGACAGTGAATATCTTGCTATCTCACAGCCAAAAAAAAATTGTTACTGTGATATATTAAGAGGCATTTTCACAGCAGCACAGTTACAGCCGAAACACAGGGATATGAACATTTTCTAAGCAGGTGCCTACTCCAAATGTCTACTCCATATTTAGGTAGCTAAAGAAATCATCTGATTTTAAAGAATATAATCATTAAGGCATTTTAGGAGGTTCTGTAAATATTAAGACTACCCAAAAATCTGTGTAAACTGCAAGCAAATCCATATGAATTTATCTTGCATCAAATAATTAACTTTGTACTTGTTTATAAAACAAAACAAAAAACAAGGAGAAAAGAACTACAGTGTGCTGCTGTCATAATATGTACCTTGATTGGCTGAACCTGATTTCACAGAATCAGCTGCATATTCATTCCCTGAGACATCTAGAACAAAATAATGAACAGGATTATGTTAAAGGTATGTATTTAAGATTTCTAAAAAATCTCTGGGTACACTGCTGTACACTCAGCAGCAATTAGATACTTGGATTTTTTTTATAAAATCCCGATCAACTTTCTTAAGTACAAAAAAAAAAGAAAAAATCTCTTGCATTTTTTTCAGGATTGGGATTAGGACTAGGCAAATATCTAAAAGATTTCGTTATTTTTCCCCAAGTTAATGTTATAAAAGAAGGCTGTACAGAAGAGAATATATAAAAGTATACAGTGACTAAAATAATACTTTGCTTCTCTATAACTTGGAAAAAAAATAAAACCTGCATGAGTTGCTTACTAAAGCAAAATGCTGCAGTTAATGTAGCACTCAGTTCATCTGTTATAATAAGAAACACTATGTGCAGCGTCAAAATCACTTAGAATGTATTTTTTTCCCTCTGAAATACTGCTTTAGCAAAAACAAGGTATTCAATAGTTGATGTTACTGACATATCTACCAGGAAATATGAAAAAATGAAATGAAATGAAATGCTTGAACAAATCGAGCTCAAAAGCTATCCTTATGCAGCAGAAAGAAAAAGTATCAGCCATCAGCCATTTTTTTTAATACATTACTTCCAGAAAGACTGCAATATATGTACTTCTACCTACTTTTGACTAATAGACTACCTTACTTTTTCTTCATAAGCCATGTGAGACTTGCTAAGTAAGATTTACCCAAACAAATAAAAAAGATATTCATAATTGTAGCCATGTACCAGAGAGCTAAATCATGATTTTCTAACAATGAAATTAGCTAATTCCTTTGGGCAAGTGAATAATTTGTGAATACGACTGAAACATAAGTTTCATATTTACTTAGTGTGCTGGAACACTACAAGCATGATATTGAAGAACAAGTTCAGACTTCTGAACTTTCGAAATCTGCAAACGGCTCTTTGATATTAGGCATGTAAGGCATGCATACAGTAAAACCAGGTTTGGCCTGGAATAATATTATTTTTTCTTCTGTTTGTAGAACTCCAATTATAAATAGTGACACTGAATTTAATATATCTCTCCTGGGACCACATATCTCCCTGGGTGACTAAAATTATACCTATGCAAATATTTTTCCTCAACACTTTAGAATATTGACAATTTGATAATCATACTCAAAAGACATGCTACGATATAACCTTTCCGGCAACTTTAACAGACACAATGTATCTGATCAGTAAACAAAAATTGATTTAACACCACCATTTTTAATTTATTACACAGGGAATCTTACGAGGTTTAATGCAATGAATTTTGTAAAGATGCTTTCAGATTCTCCTATGCATGACATTACAAATAGTAGTAATATCTAGTCCTTATACAGTAGTTTCTAGCAGTAGGCTTCAAATTACTCAAACAGGGTCAGTTCATACAAATGCAAAGTTTTGCTGGGAATAGTCGTTCACTTAACTTGCTCATACTTACGACACTTATAGTTCATATACACAGTTTGTTCCCTGCCCATAATTAAAGCAGATTAGACCATTAAAAATACACGTATCTATAATTTGCAAAATACAGTAAAGTTTATAACTGATATATATGTGCTCAAATGCCATCTTCATGAACAAATCGATAATCCCATCTGAAATATCTTTTATTCAAAAACCTGCCTTAACTGTCACAGAAACAACATTCTCATGATTCCTCTAAAATACAACACATTCTCATTTTATAATAATATCCTATTTCTATAGCATTATTCTCTATATTTTCTTTCACTGAGACCTAAAAACAATTGCACAATTTTTGAACTATCAGAAGAAAATGTATCTGTAAAATACAAATTATTGTATTTTGCTACTTAAACAGCAACATTAAAAGATATGCTTATTTCAAGCAGGATGCAAAAGGCTAATGGCAGGTCTTCTCTCTTATCCTTAGTTTGCATAGAATAAACTTGAGAAACAAGTGGGAAGTTAAAACACTTGGGAAATTTTATAATATTTATAATTCTGGTTCCATTTCTTCAAAATGTTGCATCTGCCTCAGAAACATTCACTTCTTATATACATCCTTAAACTCCATACACTTTGGGATAAATAACTGTTTTGTATTTAAGGGATACGACACATCTTTTTGTGCAAACCCTATGACACTATCACAAATGAGGCTCAACCTGGGAAGACCACAGATAGGGCTAAGGCACTGCACACCAATTCACATGTCAAGAGCTCATAGGCCATCCTGCTCTTTCCTCCTATGCATATACACAGGCATGCACGTTTTCCAACTGTCACTATCTGCAAACTTTTTCAGAAATTCATTTGCAAGGGAAGAAGGTTCGTAGTCATTTATCAGGCAGCACCATGAACGATACAAATAATACCACTACTTAAAGAAATCTGGAAGAAATTCTAGAACCAAAAAAAGAGGAGTCATACCTTTGACTGCCACCTGATATACAAAAAATTTATTGCTTAAATCCCTGACTATGCACTATAGCTCAAATCACAAGGACTCTCGTGTTACACTGCTTACAATCATTACATGTGTTTTATCTTAAGTGAAATCAGGTCAAATTGATTGTTGTATTTCTCTGTAAGATGAGTTGTTTTACTACATATAGCATCCAAAGAGTTAATTAAGCAAATCTTCTTACCACCTGTCTCTCAGAATGAAATGACCACGTAAGGTCTTTAGCAAAGAACAAATCCTGAGGAATTAAGTCTTGAACTCATACTGCATTAGAAATAGAACAGCTTCCCTCCCCACCGCCCGTGTTCAAACCACTTGTACTCACCCTCTGAGTGATGTTTTTTCCCTCTTTGACTTGCACTGCCAAGCCAAGATCAGACAGTCTGCAGTTACCGTTATCATCCAGAAGGACATTTTCTGGCTTCATGTCCCGGTACACGATCTTGATAGAATGCAGATGCAGAATCCCACAGGTGATCTGAGCTGAGTAAAAGATGATCCTGTTCATTTCCAAACCTCTCTCTCCCACATTGTAGATGTGATATTTAAGATCCCCTCCATTCATGAGGCTCATGACAAGACATAGATGGCTTTTGCTCTCATAGGCATAAGCTAGGGTGACTATGAAAGGACTGTTCACCTTCTCCAGAATCTCTTTCTCCAGCAGTGCCATCTTCTCTCCACCTTTCTTTTTCAACCTTTTCTTATCCAGTTTCTTGCAGGCATACATCTTGCCAGTATTTTTCACTTGGATGGCACAAACCTAGAGAAGGAAGATGCACAAGAAAAGGTAAAGAAATAATTTTACAGATATAGACTGTAAAATCAAGAGCAGTAATAGGTATGAACTGGGGAAACACAGTTCATACAGATCTTAGCAGCTGCTGATAGTAGCAGAGTAGATAAGGAAAAAAGAAATATGATCTGTTTTGTTCAGGACTAGTATATGATGGGCCTAGTGCAAGATACTTGAGGATTACATTAGTCCATTTGCACTAGTAAATAATATGGAACCCATTCTCGGGCCATGAGAGTAGGTAGCATATACAGCTTGCATCAGTACAGCTGCATGTTCTTCTCTCTCAAAACAAGGCATTATCATGTTCTTGTTCACAGATCCTGATCTGTGCTATTCCCTTAACTGAATCTAGGAATTATTTGGAATGGTATGAGCTAGCACAGGCCAAAACTGTGGCAAGAAGCAGGCTAATAATTAATTACATGAATAATCAAGTAAGCCTGCGTCCTATTTCTTTACTAGCACAGACAAAACATAAAATGTATGGAGAGGCCCTTCACTAATTGGTATCTGAATTCTACCCAACCATACAGATCACAAACAGCCTAATTTCTGTGAAATGGAGCAAGTTTTGCAAAACCTGAAATGATTTCTTAATTTAGTGTCAAATCCTTCTTTGCAAACCCGCCTGCTGGTCTTAGAAGGGGAGGGGTGACCAGCATCCTCAAAGGGACAGCTCTTACCTCTCCAAAGCCACCTTTGCCCAGAACTCGAAACTCATAGAAGTATTTGTCAGTCACTGGCTGCTTCTCAAAAACTTTCCATTGGAGGAATTTGTCATAGAAGGAGCTGGCCTGGAAGTCCTGAAAGGGCTTGCCTTGGAGGAAGAGTTTGGTTTCCTCCTTGGCCAGCTGCACAACATTCTCATAGTCCTTCTCAGTGGCTGCCTGGCACTTGCTGGCCAAATCAGAGCTCATGAAACTCAGATAGTTTTTGGCGCCTGTCTTAAGGAAGTTGGTCATCATATTCTCCATGGTACTGCTCTTGATATTGTCCTCTGCCAACTCCCAGTTTGATACTTCATCCAGGAATTCTCTAGCTACCAAATATTCAGGCATTGTCTCTAAGAAGTCTCTGAAGAACCTCTTGCCAATGGGCTGCTGCTCACAGATGCTCTCATAATCAACCACAATGGACTGTCTGGCGTCTTTACACTGGTCAACCTTTGGCAGTGAGAGGCTCTTGCGTCTCTTTTGCATCTCCTTGGTGTCTCCATCTCCACTCTTCCTGGCCTGCAGGTAGGCTGTGTTGGCAATCAAGTTGTCGAGGCCTCCCATGTCACACATCTTGGCAAACTCTTGAGGTGGCAGAGTCCAGCTGAGACAAAATGAGGAAGGGGCCGAGAGCTGTGCTGCAGCTGCCCTGCCCTTCTCCCTGCCGGTGGTGTGTGTGGGCTTCTGAAACACACCAGAGACACTAACTGCTTTTGCATTAAATACCTCTCAAGGATTTTCACTAAGTACCTTTAGGTATACGTACCATTTGTGGAAAGTGACTGGTAAGAGGTTTCTCTGTAAGGAGCTTTTGAGTTTGCTATATATAGTAGAGGAATGACATCCTAGGCGAACCATCTCACTAGCAGCACTAAAGAAATGCAGTCTGGCTGGTGTTTCTCAGAGCAGGCCCCAATAGCCTCTAGCTACACTGTCCCTGGCTGCTGGGAATGGGCTAGGACTTCTGTTTGCAACATATGTCCACTCCAAACTCAGTGGCATGCTTGGCTCCCTCGCTCACGACATCTTAGCCCCCTCGCTCACGAAAGTGAACACCACATACACACAATTCTTTAACAGGAATTAAGTTGGAATTTGTTTTTATAAAAAGCTGTTATCACAACCTTCCACAGCTGAAACAGAAGCTGACGTAGACTAACATGAGTTGTTGAGTTTTTGGTTACCACTCGTCCAGTCACTGAGCACCCATGCTTCCAAAACGCAAGTTATGTTCAACATCAATGGCTCTGGGCTACAGACATCTCGTGCAAGGCTTGATACCTTACGCTGCTCCCTCTGAAGGAACAGAAAGCGGATTATATGAAGGAGGGGCTAAGAACAGCAGCGACTCTAAAAATAATGATCCCTACATACAAAACAGCATAAAATTCTGATCTCCTCTCCCACACACAGGAAAAAAATACTCTTCAAATGACTGGTCAAATATTGCCATCACAGTTCCGAAAGATACAGTGGTCTCAATTTGTCTTCTCTACTAAATTTGTATTAGGACAATGAGTGGCAAGACAAGAAGGTGGCAATAGCCTAAGCCTGAGGTGACATCCACAAAGGGACAAAGCTGATTACCACCAAGTGAAGCCAAAATCCACCTAACTTTACTCATAGACTGTCTAAAAGGACATCTGCACCCCACTTTTTTTGCAAGTACTAAACATCAAGTACGGGACTTACCACATTGAACCCTTGTGCTGTGAGGCCATAATGTGGCTAAAAACTTTGAAATAAGTAAGATGTCACAGGAGCAGGAAAAGCAGTTCCATGTTTTCTCCAGTAGCAACAGGGTCATATTACTCAAGACGCTACACCTCCTTTTTCACCGTTCTATTTCAGAGCAAGGTGAAGAGTTGACTCATGGGACAGAAACGTTAAACACCAGGAGCAACAACAGGCAACACAGACTCTTTAAATGCTCTACCCCTCTTAGCCGCTTTTTGTTAACTCTAGTATCCTACCACTACACAATATTTTGTTTTCACGGGCTTACTCCTCTGAATTCATGCTTATACTCCACAAAATTACATTATAGGTTCGTTTTTTTAGCAGAGTTTGGGAGGATGATCCATTGCAAAGTGCAATGTGCAAAAGTGGTGGACTTGAGTAAAAATAAGGCAAAGTAAAACTATGACTTTTTAGAGAAACTTGTGCAAACTAACAGGTCATTCTATATTTTGGCATTAGTTCTGCAGATCTTTTACAAAACGTAAAGATTAGCATTATAACAAAACTATATATATATTTATACACCAATGCATTCATCACACACATTTGAAGAACCTTAGCCACCAACAGTCACAAAGAAAATAAAGTTGTCCTCCCACATTCTTCCATGTTAGTAGTAATGTGACCTAGTGAATTTAAGTACTCATATTTTTTTTCTTTACAGCTAGTGAAATGAAGACCTTGTGAATTGTTTGCAAGCATTCCAATGAAATGAGCAGGAAATGGAACAACTACACTTGACCTGTATGATGACAAACTTACTAAAGCCACATTAATTTATCAGTAACCCACATTAAACTATCTTAAAAATAAGGCAGTTTGCAATCATTAAATTGAAAAGCAATACTTCACATAATCATTAAACGATTCCTCCAAACAGCATCTTCCTTGTTCAAGTAATAGTTTGCAGTTGCTTGCATCTATCTCAAAGGCAAAATTTTACATAAGTATCTCAACAACTCTACAATACACTACTGCAGAGAGATCTTTTAGAGTGTTCTGCTTTCAATGTTTGACTCTATCCTACTTCTGTTTTCATGTAACCATCTAAAATTTTAGTCATTTGTAAAGAAAATTTCCATATTGAATAGCTGATAATTCCCATCAAAAATAACTAAGTCAAATAGAGTTAAAAAAAGTAGTATATTTTTTCTTGGGTTAAAAGTTTACAGGATCCTTTTCTCTCAACAACTTTACTTACTAAACTCCTGCATTGAATAAGGATGCAGAACTTCTACTCAGCATTTGTTAAGCGCCATCTCGAATATTGCGTCTGGTTTTTGTCCCTCAAATTCAAGAGACCTTAAAAAATACAGAGTCGAGCAAAGGGCCATCAAGATGATCTAAGAGCTAGCTAACTTGACCTATGAAGTGAGGTTGAAAGAAATTGTTTAGCCTAGATAAGAGTGGGTTTGCAGAGAGAGGAGGAAAAGCTAATCTCAGTCTTGCAATACTTAAAAAGCAGATGGCTTTTAAGATGCAAATTTTCTCTCCTCAAGATGTACCCCCTTTAAAAAGATGCATGATGAGAGGACAGGAGGCAATGAGCAAAAGTTGATTCAGAGGAAATTCCTTCTTGATTCAGAGGATATTCCTTCTGGTTGTAAGATTTTTTTCACTGTGAGACCAATTTCACATTGGAATAGTTGGCCCAGAGAGTGACAGACTGGGCAGGACTTAGCTTGACCCATGCAAAGCTTTGCTTTCAGCAAAAGCTGAACTGGATGGTCTCCTGGGATCCCTTCCAAGTTTGACTTTGTTATAATTTTTAATATATTTCAAAGATTTATCTCTTTCAATGTGAACTGAGTATATGGCCTCTATCCTGTGAAAATTTCTTCAAATTCAACACAGGTAGAAAAAAAGAGAGGCAATTTAAAGAGGCTTCTATGTCAGCATCTAACTTCCCGAATGTTTCATTTGCATTAGGACCTGTTGTAGGTGGCATTTAAGAAGACTTCTCTGCAATTGTTATTTTTAGCTGCTATGCATATGACACGTGAACTGCACGCAGAGTGCAAATTACTTTGGTACCTTCCATGAACCCAAGCAAAATGAACAAAGAAATCCTCTGATGCGACTAGATAGAACTAAAAGAGGTTAGAGGATAGCACTAGGCACCAAATTTTGGCAGAGAAAATATGTGCTAAACATAGTTTAAATGCTACAGCTAAAAAAATACTTCCACATCTAACAAAAATTTCTTTTCTTACCCTGTTAGGAAGAAATCTTCTTACACAAACTGAGATGGGAAGATGAAAGAGGCCATAGCAACACAGAAGTTACAGGCATTTCATTCATTATTATTAACCTTTCTTGTATTTGGTTTAAATTTTCAGAAAGACATCATCTAGGATATTAACAACTGATCTGATACAATAGAGAATTTCTGTGATTTCTCTTAGTGTACAGTGAGATTTGTTGCACAAGCTAGATTTAAAACATTCAAAACTTTTTAAAAGTGAGAAAAGTAAGTAGGAAACAAAAGCACATTACACTCTACATGCACACTTGATGAAGTAATCCAAGATTTCCATTGGACTTATTTTAGACAATGAAGTGATACCTCTAAAATACATTTAAAAAAAACAGAACTAGCTAGAAATACCTCTATTGAGAAACATATAAACCTTGAATATTTAAGTTCATCATTTTATAGTTAACAATGATATGCATATAATTATTGTTTCAAATCTGCCCAGGTTTATTTAGCATTTTATTAAGCCTGAATTCATTTCAGACAATGTCAATCTCTCTATTATTTATAAAATACCCACCCCATATGTTCAGATTAATTTAAAAATTCAATCCCCTCAGCATATGTTGACATTAACTGTAATCGCTTTGGACGTTTAGGGAAAAGATAAACAGAAAGTGAGAGGTAAGCAATTAAATAAATGAAACAAAAACCACAAGACTGATAAAATAAAAAAGGGTATTTTGATGTTATTCCATAACAATGAAAACAACGACTTCTCCTATTCCCCAAAACAAGTGTTGTATCAAATAAAATGATGATAAAGAAACTTGTGTAACAGACTTTTGATGATATAACAATTTATTATAACATATTTTTGCTAAATTTAGTAAGTACCTGCTTTCCTTCAGATATCTAAGTTAACAGTTTTGCTTGCTTTCTGGATTAGTCAACTGACCATCTAAATTGTTTACATCACTAATTAGTGGTGTAACTGATATCAACCATGTGTCACTGCACCAGCAGTCTCTGGATTAAAGGAGCATGTTTCCATGACCTTTAACAGAAATATAAATAAGAAAATGTTAATGTGGTTTAACACTATGCTTGTAAAAATTATGTATAGAATATTATACAGCAAGAGATTTTGAAATACAGCAAAACATAATTTTCTTAAGTCATAAAGAAAATCTAAATGAGAAATGTATAGTATAGTCTGATGAAAAAAGCAAGTAATAAATGCTTCACACACCATTCATTTTAGATTAAAAAACAAAATACTTTCTAACAAACCTCACTGCCTGTCATTCTGTAGGCCATATCATTTAGACAACATTTTTTTCTGATGATGAACAATACAGTGTATCAAACTTTCAAACATGGTCACCCTTTTGAATTCATTCACTTCTCTAACCAAATACATTAGACTGTATCGAGATAAAATTTATATAAACGTATTTCTATATTCTGATACAGACACAGTTATTATTCAAATTGTAATAGATACATTTTTAACACAGTGTCTCTTTTCAGTTGTGGAAAGATGCGCAATAAGACTGACCATTGCCTCGTAACACAGCAAAGAGCACACAACAAAACCACTCCATTATTGTAGCCGATGAACCAAATAAACCGTGCCGTGACTGGCCTGTTTCATTCTTTTGTATGAGCATATGGCATAAGACATACACTATTTAAACAAGTTCAACAGAAAAAAAAATATTCCAGTGTTTTTATTTGCCTATTCTCTGGACTACCCAGTCCTGCTGGCACAGGGGACAGCGATTATTCTGTTTCACCCATAAGGACATGCAGCAATTGTGGAAGGAATGATTGCATTCTCCCCAGACCACTGAAAAAAATGAAAAAATGTTTCAGTTAAATTCCTGAGCAGATGAAAAGTTAGCATTCATACCAAGGTCCAAACTACCATTCTCAAATGTTTGTAGATATGAAGCTGATATGATATTTAGATTTAAAAAATATTTAGATTTAAAAAAATGTCATCAGTGCTTTATCCACTGAGATTGTATTATTACTGCCGTTCTTATGACACTTCTCAGTTTGCTCTCACCAATCTTTGCATTTATTTCCAAATGAAAAGAAAAACATACATTCTCATCTTCTTGTACAGTCCTGTGATTTGGTATAAACACATTTATCTTTGTGATAAGAACAAGAGCATTCGGCCGAGTTCTGTTCACTTTAACTGCCCCAGTAGCAAAATGCAGCCAAGGCACTACTCGCTACTACTAAAGAGCATATTACCTAATTCTTATCTGAAATATAGTGTTTAAATTAAAATATGCAATAAGAGGGCACATTTGACATAATATATAGCCTCAAAATGGGATCTCAGAGCAGTTGTTCACAGGATACAGTTACTTCTATATGCCAACTCTTTTCCATCTATTCTTAAACAGTATTAGTCACTTTGCTTTATTCGCCTATTAACAGTTAACAGTAACCGAACATATGTACAATTAACATAACTAAACACATTCACAATCAAAGAAGTGCTGTAGATTGGTTTTATTTCTCTCCTATTGTCTTAAATAAGACATTATCAAGCCAACCACAGGTTCTAGAACAGATAATTCCTGTTCTGGTTAATAAAACAGTCATCAAAAAATAGTGGGCTGAGACAATATAGTATCTTAATACATAAATAAGAGAGTTGTGGAGAGATTTATTACTACATTTAGAAGTTAACAAGGTTGTGAGCAAAGATCATGAGAAAACAGCATGCATGCTAACAAGCAAGTAGCAAATTTGAAGGTGTTTTGTTCTATATCACATTTGCAGTGAATATTAATGTTTAGCACTCAAAACAATAAAGCCAAAACTATTTTTACTAATGTAAAACAATGACAAACTGCAGAATTAAAACACAGCTTACTTTTTAGCTTTAACAAAATTAACATTCCCTTCAAAAACTCTAAAATGCACCCCATTGAGAAAAAAGCTTCAGTTGAAAGACAAGCAAATGAAATCACTACATACCAACACAATCTTCTTGTTTGTTTTCAGCTTGACATCTAAGACAGGCATCTAAAAGTAAACAAGAACAAAACTCAATTTGATGCTCAGAATATTGTCTTACTAATAGTTTGTCAGAACTGATTTACCTAAGTAAAAATGTTACATATTGCTGTCTGATTCAGCCCTTTAACACAAAACTATTCCCCCACTCCCCCAAATTTAAAATCATGCACATAACACAATGAAATGTGCATCTGCAATAAATCAAAAGGATTACTAACTGTTCAGAAAGTTTTATTTTCCACTGCTTCACTACTTTCATAACTTTTGCAGTAAAAAGCGTTCATTTTGCAGATATGACAACCAGATTCATGCCAAGGCACTTAGGAATATTAAGACCAGAGCAAGCACACAGCCAAACCCTAATTACAGGACTTTGTTTTTCAATGACAGCATCTCCTTTTAAGGAAATCACTCAAAATTTTGGTTTCTTAAGCCTCTACATCTCTCACACCCCACACCTACTGCTACCATATTTTTATATGGTTATTTTCCTCAACAAATATCTGCATGTAATTTTTACAATATTGACATATGCACACCAACTATTTTTAAATGCTGACCACTAACAGATAAACGGGGAAAAAACCTCATTAAAAATGTTTATCTTCTTTGTACATTCTGGTCTCTGCAGCTACAGGTCATGGTGACAGATTCAGGATTACAGATACAGTAGTGACGACTTCCAGGCTTCGTAATGGGCCACACAAATCCAGAGAGAGCAACAGCTTCATTTCTCCTTTGCTCCAGTATGGACTGACACAGCCGAACGCACACAGGCCATGCACAACAGAAAGCACCCAACTGTTACAGCAGCCTACACAGTGCAAACACGTCCTCATCTCCTCCAAAGATGAGGTAACCATTTAGACTAAAGCATCCCAAAAGGTGAATTTGCCCAACAGGTCACCAATTGGAATATATTTTTCCAGAAGATAGATGTATTTTTCTATCTAGAAGACAGATATAGCACCCTCAGTTTGAAATTCAGTTTGCTTTCGCTAGCAGATACTGCCGCATGCTTCTATTTCAGATTGACCTGCCCAAATAGTCCTTGTTTTCCAGGAAATGCAGAAGGAAGAAGAGCTTCAAAACTTGTCCTTTCCTCATTAAGATTAAAGTAGCAAGTAAAATTTCCTCTTGTCTATAATAATTCTACAGTATCTAGAGATCAAACTGCAGGGAAGATTCAGCCAAAGTGCTTCAATTTACAATTTACAGTATGGCACATCAAAACAAACTGCTCCAAAGGGGTATCAATGTGCTGGGTAACAAGCTGTGGCCAGTTAGAAGCTGCTGTAAAAGCAGCTTACCTATCCCAGGTCTAAATTTAGGGTTTCAGCTGGAGAGGCAACACAGACAGCTGAGGACACAAATCAGTACTCTCAGACTGGCACCAGCTGCTGCCCCCACTCTTGCATCACAACCCCAAAGGTATCAGTCTATGAAAGGTTAAACAAATTAAGTTTGTACTGCCACAATCCTTCCCTTTCCAGGCAACACGTCAGCACTACTGCTTCTTTCCCCTGTGCTTCTCTTATCCTTGAAGTTGTTTTAAGGAATTAAACCAGTAAAGAAAATTAAGCCACCTCACACTTACTTCCCCTGCGGGGGGAAGGGGGGGGGGGAAAAAAAAAAAAAAAAACAAACAAACAAAACAGTCGTGAACACCTGGAGCCAGCCCAGGCTCCAACCCATGGTTACTGCAGATGCAGTGGCTCTACAGAGAGTCAGGCCATGTCTGGCAGGGGTCAATATTAAATTGCCAAAGTCGAAGTTTACCACTGAAACTGGTACTGAAGTTTACCACTGAAAAAGCTGGGTTTCTCTATATTAAAAAAAAAAAACTTTTCTGTTAATTTTAGATGGAAAAATACTCCTTTTGCCTGATTTATGAAAAAAATGAACAACTTTAAAACTTTTCTTGAAATGTCTGATTGACTTTTTTTTTGAAAGCTTTTTACAGTTGCCTGTAACAGGAACAATTGTTTTTGTAACAAATCATCACCAGAAGCTGCCTCATCAGTAGTTTTTTTCCTCATAAATTGCAGCATAACAACAGCTAGAAGAGGGAAATTCATTCTTAAAATTACAGTTTCCTTTTAGCAGATGAAGCCAGTTTCACTGCCGTAGACGGGTTCTGCCTCCCAACTGAAAGGAGGCAGATAACCTCGCCAAAACAGAAGGCCGCTCTGGCCACTTCAGTCTGGGCTGGGTCTTTCCCTGCAGCGCTCCTGTTTTGCTCCCGTTGCAGTGAACGTTTTCAGTAAAACGGTCAGGGGAGAAGCGGCCGCAGGTACCTGCTGTCCCGCTGCCCCCCTCGCCAGGCCGCGCCAGGCGAGTCCTGCCCCAGCGCGGCCCTGTGCGCAGCGAGCCGGGAGTGACTCAGCAGCGCGGAGGGAAAGGGGAGACACCCGCCATGGAGGCCTGTGGAATTTCTGAAGA